GGCACTTCTAGGGCACGCAGTGTATTTCCAGACAAACTTCGCAGCAGGGCAACGCTGCCTTACGGCATCCGCAATGCCATCGCGCTGCGCCTCATCGGCCGCCAACGCAACGACAAGCCCGCCCCGTCCGGTCCCAGACATCTTTGCACCGAGTGCGCCATTTTCGCAGCAAAAATTCACGATAGTATCAAGCTCTGCACAGGACACGGTGAGCTCCTGACAAAGTTTATGGTTCTCGTTCATCAACTCCCCCACACGAAACACGTTCCCAACCTCCATGGCCGCCTTGGCCTCCCCCACACACGCATTGTAGCGCTCCAATAGGGCATTAAACCATGTGGGGTTATTTTCCTTCAGCTCTCGGATTTCCCCAACGACTTTGGTGGTACTTGTCGTAATACCCGTGCTGCACACCACCAGAAACAGCGGTCTTGTAATGAGCACACGACAAAAGTTCGACACACCATTGACACGTCGATATGAAATGAGTCCACCAAATGTCGCGGCCGTATTATCTGCCCCACTCGGTGTTCCGTGGTAGCCACCCTCTCCAACGAAAGCGCTGAGGTTCACTTCATCTTCGGTCAAATCCAAACCGTACATCTCACTTAACGCACGTGAGAGGGAAACAACGTCGCTGGCAGAAGCCCCAATGCCACTCGTTGGAACAAGTGGCCCACCCAAATGAATGCGCACACCGTCAACACTGGTATCAATATTCAAGTGACGGAACACCAGACGATGGGCAAGACGCTGCTCCTCAGCCTTCTCCACAATATAGCCTGGCACAGCAGGACGACCGTCCACAACACAAATCCCCGGCTGCCCCTTCGTCAGCTCCAGTCGGCATGAGGTGTACTCGTCAATGCCCGCCACAAGAGCCTCCGCGCCATAGACAACAAAGTGCTCCCCAAAGAGAATAATTTTTCCAAAACCAATGTGGTTCTTCTCTGTTCGCTCAACAGCAGCACGTCGCATGTCAACAATATTGTGATAGTCGAGAAAGTGAATTGAATAGACACAAACTGTTCCACCAGCCACCCCAAAATGACATGCAAAAAAAAAAAAAAAAAGGTCAAGAAGCATCCAAAACACAAAGAAAGGCGTACCAACGCAGACAACATGGCCAAAACACAACAAACACCACCGCACCACTACAATGAAAAAGTAACGCAAACAAAAAAAAAGAACGGAGCGTCCATGCAACCGCAACAAAAAAAAAAAAAAAAAGTAGAAAATAACTTCCCTCCCGTCAAGCAAAAAAAAAAAAAAATGACCCAAAAGCAAAACATAAAGAAAATTTAAAAAAAAAAAAAAAAGACCACAAATTAGGTTAAATAACGTTCCTGTACTTCCATCGGACAAACGTGTAATTTATTTCATTAGTCCTCAGCAAACCCCAATCGGCTCCTGAACCCCAATCATCATTCATAACATAAAACAAAAAGGGGGAAGGAGAAAAGCGGTGCTAAACGCCCCTTCATACATAAATACACTGACAACAACAACATAACACCCAATTCATCCATCATTACGGCAGTCCATAAGAACAGGAGGCATCAAAAATAAAGAAATAAAATACTCTCCTCAGAATACACCCGTACAACACAAACATAACTCTCTCAAAACAAAATAAATAAAAATAAAATATAAAAAAAAATAAGAAGCAAAAGCACACATTTTAACGGCCAAACACAATCCGCATCACTGGATTTTATTTAAAACACATAATTTACTGCTCAAATGCGCAAAATCAAAGCAGACACACACACACACACACACAAAGGCATGTATATTTCACAAGAACAAAAAAAAAAAAGGCACATTTACCACAAAAAAAAAA